TATTGTTATAGCAATCAAATAAATAAATAATCACTTAAACAATGTTCTACGTATAAACATTGTATAAAAAAATATATATATAAACCCTGTTAAAATCGACCCTATTATACGTCTAGGTCTACTAGGTACTTAAGTGAAAATGACATTTAGATCGACTCATTTATTTACACTTAAATAGTAGACACAGTCACTAAATTTTTTAAACTTTTTTTAATTTTTTCAGTCTAACAGAAACTACCCTCTATACAGTTCCAGTTTTTGTATAATATTAATGTAAACAAATAATTCCTTTGTTAATAGTACATCTTAATGATTTATGAATGTCAATTAGAAAATACTTGTTTTTAATTGCAAATTTACTACACGCATTTTTTTGTACCGCTAACGATGATCATAAATAATTCTTCTGCCATTGAATCGATTATTTTTTGCTAAGTAAAAGAAATACGAACGAAAAAAAGAGAAAATAAGAGAAAAAAAGTTGTATGTATATCAGTAATTTCGAAGCTCAGAAGAAAGACTGACTTCCCTTAAGGTGCGTATACATTTGTCCACGAACATGTTCGAAGCAAAACGATGCGGAACACAGAACGAAGTCGAATTTAGTAGATAATGGCTGGTGTTGACGATTTAATAAATTATTATTAAAACGACGCAAACGACACAAATATACACAAATACCTTCCTCGACTTCCATGCTTCATTTGCTTATCCACAATTTGTTTCGCTTCGCTTTGTCTCGAACATGTATACGCACCTTTACAGAGCTGTTCGTCTATATAAGCAAGTGGCAGAGTGTAATTTAAACCGGTCAAAGCATTTTCGTTGTTTTATTGTATTACTTGCTTCTATTTATACACGCTGCCTTAGTCGCAATGTCTTTCCCTACGTAAATGACTATGTACCTACAGCATTCAACCATTTAGTGTAGGTACATTTAAAGAGTTAAAAAGTTTTTCGACCTGTCGCACGAAAGAAAAACACGAATCGCCATGTAGTACTCTTTTTTTCTTCTTTGGTAAACTGCTACGGTATATTTAGAATGTAGAAAATTGAACTGGGTTCATTCATTTCTTACATTATTTAAAGAACAACTTGAAATCCCAAAAATACACAACACCGAAAATATACTTATAACTGATTCTCATTAGCAATCTCGTTTCTTCTTAATTAACCTTTACTCAGCATTCTACATGTAAATTTAGTCACTCTGCGGTTCATACTCAATTATGTCAATTTCTTGAAGAAATCCTTAATTAATCCTTTTTTAATTTCTCATATGAAATAAATTTCTATTTTTACAACATTATTTATTCCAAAAGTTTCTATTAGTAACGATGATATTTTACTCCAAAAATAGTTAGTTATACAATTAACGTATCAAACTTCGTCAACAGTAGACCAAAGTGTACAGAAAGTCATGCATCCAAAGCTTTTGACATCCATCCGCGACTCCTCATAGACATCGGTCTAGTCTTGGTAAATTTTGATAAGTTTACCACCTTTTGCATTCACTAACCCGAATAACTTCGCGAACTTCGCAACCGCTGCTGTGCGAAGCCATGCACCCCCAGCAAGTTAAGCTAATGCTAGAACGATTCTTCTTGACTGAGTAGATATTCATAATGAAGCTCCCGCTTGGTATCATGATCAGGTGCGAAATTCGCCAAGTTATTAAGTTTTCATGATGCAAAAGGCCTTAAACTTGTCAAGCATGGATGGATATTTGTGTCTAATGTTTCTGACATCCATGCATAACTCCTCATAGACATCGGTCTATAGTTTACCACCTTTTGCATTCACTAACCCGAATAACTTCGCGAATTTCGCAACCGCTCCTGTGCGAAATCATGCACCCCTAGCAATCTAAGCTTCTTCTTGAGTGAACAGATGTTATAATGAAGCTCCCGCTTGGCGCTATGATCGGGTGTGAAATTCGCGAAGTTATTAAGTTTTCTTGACGCAAAAGAATTTCCCTCGTACTAGTATAGAAAACAAAGGAAAATGTTTTTCTTAAGCGATCTAAACAACTCGCACGTTATTTGCTGTTATTTAGTAACAAAACAATAAAATCAAAACGATCCCTAGAAAAATTAACTAATAAATAAATTGTTTTGGAAGTATTTTCAGTGTATTGACATTTACAGTTACCCGTACAATTTCCTGATTATGGCCCGTTTCTACTGGAATGCGTGGTTTTTTACTGGGAATACTTTTTAATTTCGTAGTTGTTGTTGTGAAGATTTATTATTTGCTTGTCATCGTGAAGGGTTTCCTGTTGCATTTTATCCGTACGTGCCTCGCTATATTTAATAAGTAGTAGTTAAAAATTAATTATTAATAAAGTAAAAAGTGTGTACATAAATTCATATTTAAGAAGAAACAAAGAATGACGCATAGGTGCATGTATCCTTAAGTGTGGGTATATTTAATTCAAATCGCGTAGAATCTCATTTGTATTCCGTTCTAATGTTTAAACTTCCTTCCTATGCTGTCTGACAGAAACGATAATTTCTAACCTGGAGGTCACTTTTTATAGTTGACTGCCTTCCCTATTCATCTTGTTTTGTTGCAGATCGCGGAACGGCATCACTGGCGAAGATCTGAACCGTTGCTACAAAAATCCAAACCCCATTTTACATCCAGAAATCTACTATCTCAAGGTCAGTTATCCAATTAATAATCGAGACATCGACGAAAAAACAAAAGCGAATTTAAAGGTCTTCTTCTCTGAAAAATACAATACCTGCTGCCTTAAAACAGTTCATTAAAAACTAAATCTTGCTCTCTCTCCTCCGGCGGTATTCTTTAACAATGGATTTTCAATGCCATACTGGCACTTATGTTCGGTATTCCATGTACTCACACAAAAAGAAACGGTAACATTATCGACTACATACTTTTACATTACCTGCTAAAAATCTGTATCGACCTTTTCGAAATTACGACATTGGTTGTAAAGGCTAATTAAAATTGCGCAAATTTTTAACAATCCTCTTCGAAACACACAAGTTTCCCAAAATCTTCTTTCAATTTTCACGCCATAGTCTCATTCTCGTACTGATAATATTGGTAATACTTTAGGGTAATGATTCATGTATCCCAATTTTAGAGTATAGTTGGGTACGCAGTTAAGATTTTGGAACATCCAATTGCAACATTTATAGATATCCATGGTCACAGCAGGAAGAAGTTTTTCTTTTTTTACGGCTGCGATCCAAAAAAAAGTTGGAACAGTGCAGACCGGAAACAATTGGATTTCTCCGATATTTGTACCGTAAGTTTCAATAGGACTTATTATTAACTACTGCTTCAATTTTCGGAAATATTTTTTGGGAAAAACTCGGAATTCACCCTTTATTTTGTTAAACATAACTACCCGCTAAGAATAACAAATTATAAAAACAGTAAATGTACTCATTTAATATTGGAATTCTACGTGATTATTTCAAGAGATTTAAAGCTAGAAGGGAAATGAAAATTTATATTTGAATTACCCCAATTAAATAACCAAATCAAAAAATTGGCGAAAATCTAACCCGTAACAGGCAAATATAAGTTAGGTACAGTAAGTCCTAAAGAGACTTTACTTTTTTTGTGGTCTCTAAAAGTAGAAACAAGGGAATACCCGACCCATGACCAGAAATGACAAGACGCTGTGGTGATCTAATAAAAAAAAAATGCAAGTTTCACCCCTCAGTTTAAAGGTATAAACGAACCACATATAAATTCAGTCAGTCTTACTTCTTTAATAAACTAGTATTACCCATGTAAAAATTCAGATAAGGAATTCCTAAATCAATATTTAAATGCCTAATGTAATGGTTAGAACTTCAGAGGTAACAAGTTCCCACATTTATTCTTCTTCGTCTTCTTCTTTTCTTTTTCGTATTCTTCATGGACGTAGTTGTAGCTTTACATAAAAACGCACACACCTAGTGTAGTAAGGTTCAGGGTCAGTATTCAAGTCTTAAAGCTGCTTTGCACTCAATATTGCATGACCTTCAGATAGTCGAGAAGAAATTCTTGTTCTTAAAATCAACATGGCTCGAACAACGCTCCTGATCGATGGTTGAAAAACGTTTTCAAATATTAGATGATGCTTCACGCTCCTTTTGTCATTTTTATACGTACCTACCAGAGGTGTGATTTATTTGAAATACTTGCATTTAAAATGCAAATAGTAAATAAAAAATACGTATTTCTATCTTGCATTTAAATACTTTATTGGAAAAGGTATTTTGTATTTTATTTAAAATACTTTTCCAAACATATTTTCTATTTGTAAAAAGGAAAATACATTTTTGCCTTAAAAGTTTTGCGAGTATCGCTGATCAAACATTATATAAAATGATGAATGAAAGAGAGATTCCATGAGCCTAAAAACTTCTAAACTCCTTGGAAATGCATAATCTAAAATATTGGAACGATATTGTTTTCCGAGTTCAATGTCATGGTCCATGGAATTTCGAAGTTCTAAATTGATATCAGTATCACCACGTATCATACCTTTAGCAAGGAACTAAGAAATTCTATGAATTACGACAAAACAATATCGAGTTACTACTACAACTACAAGATATTGTGGTGTGCTAATAAATGCATATAATCCAAAATTCATAGAAAACGATTCAAAAAACTTCAATTATTAGATGAACCCAAAGCTAAAGAAAGTATGGATTCCATTTCTTTCTCTTATTACAACGTGTAAAAGATCAGAAACTAAATGGGGTTGTAAATATTTTGATATAAAATGATTGATCTTGTGTGCAATCGGCATTCATTTCGCTATTTTCAAAGAAGAATTTAAAATATCACAAACATGTGGTGAGAGGGGGTGAAGGGGGGGGGGGTTAGGTCCGAACAGAAAATCCAAAATTCGAAAAAAGCAAATTAAAAAAAATAAAATAGCAAAAGTTGATCAAAGATCTTTAAGGGTAGAAAATCCAGAAATTTTTGTGAATTCGCTTCTAATCACAATAATAGAATAATATTTGCTTAGCTTCGAAACTTTTGAACGATATTGTAAATATGTAATATCGCTTCTTCAGAAATATTTCCCAGATATCGTTGTTGTTCTATATAATTATTTCAGTTATTACCGACGTATATAAATAACAATAATTTAAACAAATCGTTTTGCCGATACGATTTTAATAGCGAAAAAGAATCGACATGCAGAGTTATGATGTGGAGGGAATTTGGAATAAAGTGCTCGTACACACTGGAATCGTCTTTTTGTTCGGGTGAGAACAAGAAGGTAAGCGAGAATGAGAGGATGTTATTTGTGTATATATATGAACGCGAAATTACGGGTAACGTTTTTCTCTTTTTTTTTGCAATTTGCAGAAAATTACTACAGAAACTTTGCAACAAATTGGTGTCAGTCTAGTAACTGCCCTTGCTTTTATTGCCCAACAAAAAATATGGCAAAAGAAGAAAGTTTTTGACGAATGATTTAGCCGAGTACCTGTACCTATGTAGGCAAATAGTAAAACAAAAAGAAACATTAAGTATTCCTTTTCGACGTGATATTAAATTACATATCAATTGTTTGTATATATTCGACATAAAAATTGTTTTGTTACTTTTTTTTTAATAAAATTTTTTAGAGGGTTGAAACTTCTCATTAATTATCATTCATAATTAATTCAATTCTAAATAAAAGGTAAAATCGTTATGTAACGCAAACAATGACCCCTTTTCTTCATCCCTCTAGCTCCCTAAAGCTCGGTGGAAGTTCTCCCTCCTTTTTTAATATTTCTTTTAGAGGGATAACTTCTCATTAATTATTACTTTAATTTCCGATAATAATAATTAAATTTTTTAAAAAACATTGACCCCTTTCCTGCCGCTCCCTTTTCCAGAACTGGACCACAACGCCCACAAGTCCCTCTCTCTCCTTAATTAGCGTTACATAAACATCCCTTAACAATATACCTACTGTCAACAACTTGATATTATACCAAGTTGTTTCTACTTGGATTTGATCGGTGAAAATAGCTGTGGCGTGCTGAAGAGAGGTAATAATTTCGAAATCACTATCCACATTTTGTAGTTTCGATAACTTACTAACCAAGAATTTAACGTCCCTTATTAATTTGATTTAGGTACGAAAATAATAAACGCATTTAGTTCATCTTCATTTTAATTTTTTATTGAATGTATCGGATTAAATACAACAGCACATTAATAAAATTGCCCGCTACTGTGCAACAGATTTAAAGTAAAGAAAAAAATAATAATAAGAAATACATTAAGTTATAGATATGCATTTCTAATTGATGACGTAAAAAAATATAATAATAAAGTTGACACCACCTATATTGGTATATATGTTTACCGTACACACGTATATGTATATGTGTTGACATTGAGATAACCGTTAAACAGATAGGATATTATGCATTATTTTATGTATATCAATCAATTTCAATTTTTTCACTTGTGCGTATCGATTTTCTTGAAAACGGCGCTCTTCAACTGCTCATACGTCAACCACATCATTATATTCCAGGAAACCAAACGGTAAAAAGAAGGAATGAAACTAAAAACAAACGACAGCATTCTTTTTAAATCAATAAAAACATTTTCGAGCTTGAGACAATCAAAAGAAAGAAGCAACAATTTGGTTAAAGAAGGTTTGGTGGGGTTGGGTTGTATTTGAGCGAAATTTATTTAGACTTGAGAGAGTAATTGACCTGCGAAGATCTTACCCTTTGTAGAAAGATTTAGCACCCTCGTTTACGAACATTGACACTGCACAATCAATAGCACCTTTATACTGATTCTTCGTTGAATTCATATAGCGAGTTTTGACAACGTCCACTGGGGAAGCTACTATTGTAGTACAAAAGCCTAAAAATAAGAAATTGTAGCTGTAATTATCTTGCTAGACCCACAATGAACGGTTATATCTTACCAGCAATAACGGCAGAAATGAAATAAAGACGAATGCCATCAGACATCAAGTGGGAATGAAGCAAGGAATCTTTGATCAAATCATAGCAAACAATTTCGGAGACATTCACAATGGCATTTCGGCTTACATTAGGAAATGTTCCTAAAACACCATAAAAATTTGTTTGACAAACAAAAGTAAGTTCAAAAGTAACAATCAAACCAGTCAAATATACGAAATCTGATCAAATCATAGCAAACAATTTCGGATACACCAAGAAAGACATTTCGGATAACATTAGAAAATGTTCCTAAGACATCGTAGGTAAAAATTTGTTCAACAACAAAAGTAAGCTCAATTTTAACGCGGAAACCAGTCAAATATACGAAATCTGATCAAATCATAGCAAACAATTTCGGATACACCAAGAAAGACATTTCAGATAACATTAGAAAATGTTCCTAAGGCATCGTGGGTAAAAATTTGTTCAACAACAAAAGTAAGCTCAACTTTAACGCGGAAACCAGTCAAATATACGAAATCTGATCAAATCATAGCAAACAATTTCGGATACACCAAGAAAGGCATTTCGGATAACATTAGAAAATGTTCCTAAGGCATCGTGGGTAAAAATTTGTTCATCAACAAAAGTAAGCTCAACTTTAACGCGGAAATCAGTCAAATATACGAAATCTGATCAAATCATAGCAAACAATTTCGGATACACCAAGAAAGATTTCCGATAACATTAGAAAATGTTCCTAAGGCATCATTTAAACATGAACATCTACGTATGCCAAGGAAATAAATATTCTTATGTCGATTGGAAGAAGGAGATACAATCTCATAAAAGCTCAAGATCCCAAACATCGGAAAACCTGGAACTTATGCTTTAGATTTTATTTGAGTTATCGGGAAGAGGGAGGTTGTTTCTTTTTCCTTTGATATAACCTATGAGGCATAGAGGTCTAGTTAGGACCATATTAGAAACAGAAACACGAGAAAGGAAAACCTTTTTTTTGGGCAACTCCAAAGCTCCACTGACGACGCCACTAAATCCCTGTAAACCCTAATGAATAATGAATAATTGTAATGCGTCGATTCCTTTAGCACTCAAAGGTTAAGAGATTGACCTTTGGTATTAATTAATTCTTTAAATGAATAAATACCTTTCCATAAACCCCTTAGACCTTCTTTGGAAGCAATGCTTTTGTATGCTTCACGTACGTTATTGTATCTTGGGGAAGCAACTTCTGATTGACCCATGGATGCTTGAAATCGTACTTTGACAACGTCAGTTGGCTGAGCTATGAAAACTGCTAAACCACCGGTGGTTATACCAGCTGCTACCCTCGAACCTATGTTCATGTTGCCAGTTGATTTACTATTTCCTGCGAATTTCGAATTTTATCAGAAATCAATCCCTCTGAAATTGAGTAAACAACTACAAAAAAAAATAGTAAAAATAACAAATGACTGAATTAAATAAAGTTGGTACAAAGTTAGGTTTGATTACAGGTACAATTTATGAAACTTTGATATCTTTAATTTTACAATTGGTCTTCTCGTTTTTTTTTTTCTCTCTTTCAAAAAGTGTAACTGCTTTGTGACATAAATATTAACAATATAAATCGCATTACTTTTAACCATAATTGTATACAGTTTACTTCGTGAAGGTACCACTCGTCTTGATTTTTCCATCCACTTGGAATTACACTTGTTTTTATTCCAGTTATTTAATTTTTCTGACTTTTATTTTAATTTCTTTCAAAAGTGCAGGACCTTTTGATAATAAAAATATGTGTTTAATTACAGTCGACTCCTTTTTAGACAAATTAACATTACCGTCATTTTTAACTTACTCTTCGACTTGAAGAATTTATCTTTAAAGTTTTACATTAATGTATGACGTAATTTTTGAACTTATGCAAATTCTTGAGATATTCTACTAAAATATCATCGAATCAATTATTTGACTTGATTGAAATTCCCATATACACAAAGGAAAAAGAAATTAATAGTTAAAAATAAATAAATAAACATAAATTAAGTGGAAAGAATCGTGACCACCCTTAAGGCAGACTGATATTATCGGAAAAAGACCTTGAATTGTTCGATTTACAGAAAATTTTACTTAAAAGATTCGACTTTTGGAATAATTTGATTGAATGAGATAAAATACGGAGTCGACTGTAATTTGTGTGGATTGCAATAGAATTAATAAAAGAGTAATCGAAGATGTGTATCGATGATGAACCCAAACAAAAACTGTGGTACTTTTTATGTTTTTCGTTTAGAAAATAATTAGAATACCCTGAAATATATGTGTAGCTATATGTAATGGTTTAAAAAGAGAAGATGATAGTCGGAGTTGAAGTTTTATTAATAGAAGGAAAAAACGATCGATTACTAGCAGCTATGGACTGCCAGTAAGCGTACCGTCTAGTAGGCGTTGGTAGAAGGTCTTGAAGGTGTCGTAGAGACCTATGCGTACGGACGCAAAACACATTTGACGTTGGAGACCAGCCGAAAGACCACTGTATAGACTCCTGCAAGCAAATTTGATACACACTGTTTATCCCTAACACCCCAAAACTAAAACCCAATTCAACCTCAAGGTTGGCATCTTTAATTACGTTTCTATTTTCAACCCTTTAACTTGACTTTGGGATCACCAGACCAACAATAGTTTCAATTTTTTATACTTACCTTCACAGTTAATATTATACTCAATACTTATTAGGAAAAAAGTTGTATGAATGTAGTGTTGGCATTAGTGTGCATTTGAACGATTTTTTGGCATCACACTTCTAATGGCTCTGCCATGAAATTATCTTAAATTATATAGGTAACAACGCTTATACCAAACTATTATCTAATTAGACATTTCGAAAATAACTACTACGTCTACTTTTAATCATTACAACGCGCGTGATTTGATATCCCGTCAAAAACTAAAATATGAATTTTCCAATATCTTTAACAAACTCAAGAAAAATGTCGTGAAAACCAATTAATAGATGATCCTTTTTTTAGTAATTAGCTGTGTAAACTGAAAATAAAAAAAAAAAAATATTTTTCGTGTGTTTTTCGATATTCAGTTGCATTAATTAATTATCTTAAGTAATTAAGTACCTTTATTTTGTAGTATGTTAGAGGAATCGTATTCATTTTTGTATACCTTTACATTCAGCAATTTTAGATTTATTTACGGACAATTACTTATGTACATATTAGAATACGATCGCTCAACAATTATAAACAAAATAAAGAACAGTTTCTTGTAGTCTGGTCCCCCTATAGTGCAGATCAATAAAACCAATCATTAAAAGCAAAAAATTAAAAGCAACCAACAATAAAATAGCGTTTAAATTAATTGATTTACCTTGGGCCTTCTTGTCGAATCATATTGGTTAGAGTTCCGAAAAGACCATTTTGATTATGCTGAACTGCCTCCAACATAACAAATGATCCATTCTGAACAACAACACGGGATTCCCCCTGAATCTAATTTTCAAAACAAATCAAATATGATTCGAAAAATAATAGCGCAACAATTGAAATAAAGGACACACTTATTTATACACATTTTTGGAAATGAAATTCACTTGCCTGTAAACGAACTTTTGCGGTGTCTAGCGGATAGGTAACAAAGTCTGCAAAGCAAGCTGATGTACCAGCTGTGAGAAGTTTGGCAAAAAGTGGCGTATTATCAAACGTACTCATTTTATTTATTTTTTTGTTATTTTTTGCCTTTGAAATTGTTAATAATTACTCAGAAAATCTGGAAATAAAGTACAAACTGATGTAGGTACCTATCTAACAAATCTTTTGCAAAAAAGACTTACTCAACGATGGTGCTAAATATTCCTTTAGGTGGTGATACGTTTCTAGTGATTTTTAAAAGTTTTCTCTAAATTCATCATAAAAATAGTATTTTGCTATAGATTGATGTACAAAGCAATCTTGATGCTGACGAACAGCGTTTAACAAAAAATATTCCGGTGAAAATCTTCTGATCATACTATTTCTAAAACAATAAACAATTGTCAAGCACTTTCTAATACAAATCCAGGAATTAATTGGACCGAACGAACGGGAACAAATCGAAGAAATCTCATGGAAAAACTAAGCTATACATAAAAAGAAAAACTTGCTGTTCAAATATCTTTCAGTACATGTAGATAGAAAACCAAAACTTATTAATAAATGATTTACAAAGTTAAGGAAAATTCGACAGGATTTTGAAAACTCTGGGAAACATAGGCGGTAATTTAAATACGTAACATAAAAACAAATAAAGGAAGCAGTAATTAAAAGGCAACAGCAAATGAATAAACATAGTAATTTAAATTACAATAATTAAAAGAATAGGAACTCATAGAGCTTAGTCTGCATGCGTAGCATTGTTTTGTCTGAAATATGGCACGCTAATTACAAACTCGTGAGAAAAACAGGACAACTAAGAGCAATAACTCAAAGTCCAATGTTCGCACTACATTGGTATTTACTTAAAAGAAAAAAAATACTACACCTTACACAGTGATTTATATTCATATACATGGCGTTAAGGTACAAAGTAATAAGTTCAGTTCACTTAAGTACTGAAACAACTGTAAGTAATTTATGATGTGTCGGACATCGCAATTAAAAGCATCAAACACAAAATGATTCTATCATATGGATGTCAATCAAGAAAAAAAGTAGATATGCATGTAACAACGTTATTAGTACAAAGATTAAATTGTTTGTCCTCGATTCTTTTAGATAAATTTACTACAATAAAAAGCAATAATAATAGTCGCGTAGGTTTAATCAATAACTTCTGTTGGTACAGTTATAAACAGATATATCTACGTACATATGTATCATAAATGAAAGCTATTTTAGGAGTGGTTTGAATAATTTACATTTTTTTTTCCTACTTTTAATTCAATTCTAATTAATTGTATGATTACTAGGTTTTACTCGCTGCTTCGCTTGCGTTGATGCCTTAAATATGTGTCAAAAATCATTGACGACCACTTAAAACCGATTTTTGTATCCCACGGTAACAGTATTTTTTTCGTGGATAAAAAGTACCCTATGTCCTTTTCTGTACCCCTGACAATGTGTGTACAAAATTCCATGATGATCGATTGAGTAATTAACACGTGAAATGGTAGCAAACAAACAAACAAACTTAGAATATTAGAATACACTGTTTCTCATTTATATAGGAATAGGCCTTGAATTGATATTTAAATTTGGTGTGCAATGATTCGGTAATCTTAAAAGTATAAAAATTACTTTACTATAATAATTAATAATGTCAGTGACTGCTTCAGATTAATTTTTTTTTTTGTATCATTTCAAATTCAAGGATATTTCGAATTTGTTTTGGCTTATATACCTACCGATTCGTACTGTAACAGATCAAAGTCTAAGGTTTCAACAAAGCAAACAGTTAATTTATTAGAATATGAGTTGTAGAAACAATAGAGACGGTCCTGATTTTTATCGTAATAATATAAAAATATAACTATATATAATTTTATATACTTGCTTTAAAAATTGGCACACTTAACTAATATAACTATAGTCGCAGAGGGCTCTTAATTACCACGGGTACAAAAATGATTGCTTATTAAAAATCGTTTATATTTAAAAAAATGTATACAAAAGAATATTGTTTTATTAACAAACCACTGGTTTTAATTCATAATTGTTTACTTTAGAAAACAATTGGACGAATTATTCACCCACCTGATTTATGTTTTATAACTTACATTACGAGCAAATTTCCTTTGTCAAATTTAATAGGTAGTTATCAAAAATTTTGTACACGCCTTAATATAAAACTGTTATGTACCTAACGTGTTTCGTTGTTTTTGTTTTATTCTTTAATTAGGAATACAGTCCTTGATTATCGAAATACAATCAATTGTCCTGGAATGCACCATTTTTAAAAATAGTACCTACGCACTGACCACCAAAATACGTATCTATATCTGCATAGAATGAACAAAAGTACAAATTATACTAATATTTAAACGTTATTTATGCATACATATTTTTGACAATTAAGTTCGATTACCATGTTAAAACTTAAAGTGAAAGACCTCCAATCAATTTCCTCAAACAAAAAAAGTTTTATTGAGTTAGTTCTCTTTATAAAACTTGAAAACGTATGAACCATAACGTAGTTTCTTAAATACTTTTACTAATATTTATGTATGTTAGGTATAAAATATATTCTAAGAAAACTTACCCGCAGAGCACTTTCAGAGGAAAATTAAATCGTTATGAGAAAATACCGTAGGCTGCATTCACATACGGAGAAAAATAATGAACATGCGCAACAAATTCGCGTAGTCCACGGTTATTGAGCGGTCTAAAGTCTAAACGAACATACAAATACATGAATGTTTTAGATACACAATTGAGAATCAAAAAATCGCAATTAGTTCATATCAAACAATTTAAACATACTAGTTAGGCCCCGTAGTATAACTGAAAAAGCTTAAGATTTTTAAATATTTGGCGCCTTTTTTGCATCTTGCGCTATTTTAATTCAAAAACTTGATAATTGGTAGGCCAACCAAAATTGTGCAGAGCATGTATGGTTGCCTAAAGACATAAAATTTTTATCTTCGTTTTTTATTATTATTTTCAATGTAAAACGTGTATTATTGTATTAACTTAACATAAATAAGTAATACTGTGCTATTTTCCTTTAATAATTAACTATATTAAAAATGTTTAAACATTTTATATTATTAAACTTTTGCATAAAAGTCCGTCGTTTAGAGTCCGTGTGTGACGTCATGACTATTTATACGAGGTTTGTTATAAAAGTAACTGTTATATATACATAGTCTTATGAAATATTACAGTTGAGGGTAAAATAATCGCCGTAATCACATCACAAACGATTAGGAAAACCTTGCCATGTTTGTTTGATTCCTTAACTAAAAGCATATAATTTATTTAGTTCTAAATTTCTCTCTCCCTGACCACTTGTTGTGGTAACTGTCATACGATCATCCGACATAACGAATTAACCTGTCACAACATTAGTAATGTGTCACCTCATATTTATGTTGTGATAACAGTTAAAGGTTTTTCAAACAGATATTCTTCCAAAGTGATAAAAATTTAATATTTGCAGTATTTTGAGACTGGCATTATCTGCATACTAATTACAGTGATACGATATGTGAAATTGAAGGTTTGGATATAATATTTAGTTTGATTGCTTTTTACATTATTATTTTCTTGCTAGATGAATGTAGAAACATTTACTATCATTCCTAAAGATTAATTAGTCAATGATAAGTGATAAGATTTGTAATGCATTAATTGATGATGTTATTGTTCCATAATCAGATCAAAACTCACCCCTCAACAACAATACACTTATGATGTCTTTAAAAGAAAGGCAAATAAGAGATTATGAATATTCAACAAAGTTTTATGTTTATTGTTAGAGTACTTCTAATTTTTTTACATTTAATTATAATTAATGGAGAAGAAAACAATTTACCTGATTGCAGTAATGAAGAAGGACCACATGGGTAAAAAAGCTTACTTAAATTATTGTATCTACATTTTAAGAAACTCTGTTACAGGTTGATATTAGTGAGTACATTAGATGGAAATATTGCAGCTTTGTCAGCAAAGGGACGCTTAATATGGGAACTTGAAACAGGTCCTTTATTGCTTTCCAATATCCATAATTTAGAGGTATTTTAAATTTAAAAATTTAAACATAATGGTTGCATGGCATTTTTTTAGTTGACTAACAATGGACAGTGGATTAGAATTATTCCATCTCTGTCAGGTTCTCTATATAAGTTTGATGGCTCAAATATTGATGCAATTCCTATCACTGCAGATAATTTGTTAACTTCATCTTTTAAATATTCTGATGATATGGTAATAGCTGGTGAGTGTATATTATTAATTATGTTATCTTATTCTCCATGAGTATAATTATAACTGTAGGTGGTAGAGAAGTTCGTAATTATGGTGTAAATATAAATTCTGGCAAGAAAGTCTATGAGTGCTCATTAAGTGGATGTAAAAATAATACAGAAGTTGATGAATCTGAAGACATTGTCATTATTGAAAGAAGTTCTTATGTTGTTAGAGCTGTAGAGCCTCGGTCTGGTGGTGAAAGGTTGATAATATAAGAGAAGTGCCCATGTTGATCTTAATATACAATGGAATTTCATTTTAGATGGAACTTTAGCATAGCAATCCATAATCTTAAAGTACCATATACTAGTTGTATAAACATAGATCCAGAAGTTCATGAGTATAAAATAACAGCCATATTACCAAATGGTCACATTATAGCAAATTCAGAAAAGACATTACTGGAACCCTGGGACTTCAAGTTCAATTCCCCTATAGTTGGAATTTGGAAATGGGATGGACGTTCACTATCCCAAGTAGATTTATTTGAATTTCCAATTGAAAATAAGCTACCATTAGTACCACCATCAATCTATGTGGGAATGTATAAAAAGCAGTTGTATATATTTGAATCAGAAAAAATGAAAGAGACACTGGTTTTAAAAAAGTATGCTGCCCCAAGTTTTATTGACAGTCAAGGAATTACAAGAATACCATGGAAACCCATATCAGCATCAAACACTGCTTTGGTCCCTATTGATGACACAGATGGATCAACAGCACTTTCTGTCTTATACAGTTCAGAATACATTAATGGTAAGAAATGCATCATTTTATCTTTTAAGTATTAATGTTACAGAGCATTAACCATGATGAATCGACCTCGTCATTTAAAATTGTAAAAAATAAAAAATAATTACTTTATTTAGATGAACTTCTGTCATTTTAAAAAATATTTAATATGTTAAAATTAGAAAATGAGACTGTAGTAGAGGAATAAATAAATTGCAGAGGTTTTCTGTACTATCGTATTTTTAACTTAAGAACTTAAAAATTTCAAAATCTTGGTATTGTGATATGTATAACATAAGTATATGAGATATCTATAAGAACTGATTCACTATAACTCTTAATATTATACATTTATTCCAGGGAATGGTTATTACTTTTATGCTACAAATGACCCTTTATTGTGTGATAATCAAACTTTATCTGAAATGGAAAGTAAAGATTTAAAAGACGGAGTACCTGTAGTGGATTGGATGTGGTGGTAATAATTGGAAAAGCTATTTAGTTTATAAATCTATTCATTAATAAATTGTTTAACTGTTTTTAGGAAAGAAATAATTGTGATATCCCTGACTGTAATATTTATGAACATCATGTACAATAATTTTGGTAATTTCTTTATTTTACGTGTATTTCCCCGACAAAGGCATTCCTCCACATTCCAACAAAAAACTAACAGTGTTAGCGAAATACTGCCACTTTATAGCAAAAATTCTAGCAGTACTACAGAGACTTCAGACAATAATTTTGCTTCCCGATATCTAACAGAATTTGACACAATTAACTGTTTGGGAAGGGGAGGGTTTGGTGTTGTATTTCACGTTATTAAAAAATTCGATGATTGCCATTATGCTGTTAAAAGAATCCTTTTGCCAAGAGAGTAAGTTTACCTTCTATAAAGTTTAATACTAATAATAAGAATTTTATTTTAAGAAATAAAGCAAGAGAAAGGGTAATGCGAGAGGTAAAAGCTCTTGCCAAACTAGATCACAGAAATATTGTACGGTATTACAATGCATGGATTGAATATCCTCCTGTTCAATGGCAAAAAAAGTTAGACGAGAAATTACTCAGGTACTTTTCCATTTATTATTTTGCAAATAAATTTAATAATAGTAAAATAAAATGTATTTTTGTAGTGATTGTTCGAACTCATTGGCAGCAATGACCAGTACATCACAAAGTAGACACCACAGAAGTACTTCCGTTAGTATTGATGTGATTAATTTACAAAGGAGGAGAATGAAAGAAGAATCAGAACTATTTAGTAACATTCAGTCAAAAGATGATTTTAATATATCAATTTCCAAGACACCAGATTCAAGTGATTCTTTCATAGTTTTTAAAAGTAACACAGTTTCTTCTTCATCCGAGTGTAGCGATTTTTCTCATAAAGAAAAAACGCTTTCCCATGCCGATAAAAAGTCAATTTGGCGTAAACCAAGACAACGGCCGCAGTCTTTGGATATAACTAGTCAAGGGAACGTTTTCACGAATGATAAAACACCCCCTGCTTTCTTGTATATACAAATGCAGCTTTGCAGAGAGGAGAGTCTAAAAGACTGGCTTAAAAATAATAAAAATCGCGAAAAGACAATTCTTTTGAACATTTTTACACAAATTCTTGAGGCAGTAGAATACGTTCATCTCCAAGGTCTTATTCACCGGGACTTAAAAGTACACGAAATAGTACTTCTATGTTAATAACAAATAACACATATTCCTGTTTCAGCCCAGCAATATATTTTTTTCTTTAGAGGGTCAAATTAAGATAGGCGACTTTGGTCTTGTTACTACAATGGATGATGCGCCCCCTTTTCCAAGTATTAACTCTTCACCAGCAATTTTAAGCAATGGCTACACCCAGGCTGTAGGAACTAAACTTTACATGAGCCCTGAACAGTATAAAGGCGAAAAATATGACTACAAAGTGGATATCTATTCCTTAGGGGTTATATTTTTTGAGTTGCTAATACCCTTTTTTACAGAAATGGAAAGGGTAAAAGCTTTAACAAATTTACGAAATAAAGTGTTTCCTTTAGAATTTCCAAAAGAATACAAACATGAGGTGGATATGCATATTATAACTAAATTTTTGATTTATTTTCAAATGCCTGTTTCAGAAAGCACTTTTAAATTTAATGATAGCTGATGACCCCAAGGACAGGCCAACAACATTTGGAATCAGAGCTAGACCTCCATTTTTACAAGAAGATGCAGTTTTGAAAAGAGATTTTCATTTCAAGCTCCCTAAAATCTAATAAATGTCTTAATTACACCAAAATAAATATTTAAACTTTTTAATAAGCCTTTTTATTGACTGAAAATGTTCCATTTACGAAATTTATTTAGTTTAAGCATTATAGTTTTGTAATTTGCTGCATAAAAAATGTATTTATTTTAAAATTAACAATTCAGCATTATGAATATGCTGGTTTATAATTTATAAACAGGATTCAAATAACTTTTACGCGCTTTTTATATTTGAAATTCAAAAACCATAGATAATAGAAATAATTAGTCAATTTTAATCTCAGTGGAGAAGTGTCAATATTAATGTCAGTCAAAGTCGAACTTGTGACTGAAAAGTCTAGTCATTTCCAGTATACATTTATCTGTGTTGCGCATTTTATAAATAAAAAAAATATTTTAAAATATTAGAAATTAAGATGCTTAGTTTTCGATATGTACGAGGACGACTTTCTCCTAATACGTTTAGGTAAAATACATTAGCATCACGAAATATATTTGTAAATATCTGTGATGTAACATTAGACCTCTCCATGCATTTTGTTAACTTTTATATGCTAAAAATTTTTTAGCCAATTAAGATCAATGTCTGGACAATTAGGAGACCTAGGAAGTGGTGCTGGAAAAGGTGGTGGTGGTGGAGGCTCCATACGTGAGGCAGGAGGGGCCTTCGGTAAAGCAGAAGCTGCTAAAGAAGAAGAATATTTTTACAGAAAGGTAAAACACCTTTGCTGTACCTTTTTTACTATAAAATTCAGTGGAAATTAAAATTATTATATCATTTTCTTTCTTTTAAACAGCAAAGGGAACAGTTGGCCAAATTGAAAAATGATTTGCATGATGAAATACGTTTTCATGAAGAACAAATTAAGAGACATCAAGAAGCCATACAGCGTCAAAAGGAACGAGTTAAAGACCTTGATAAACATTAAACAGCATGTTTCTTTCATATAGCATTGTAGTTATTGCCGCTTGTAACTTGTTAATATGTATCATTTAAATACAACATTAAAAGTTGCTTTGTATTAAGTTTTCTTCTGAATGCACGAAGTAGTTTATTTATTATTACTGCAATTCATTAAAATGGAATAAATAAACCAATTTTATTACTTTATTACATTTAATATTAATTTTAATTATTAAGTGGAAAAGAATAGTAGCGCATACAGTGGTAATTAGAAATTACAGTTATTAAGAAAATTGAATTATCACATGTATCAAATTTCATTTTTATTTATAATTTAAATGTTTATTTTATAATTGCCGCCGAATATCTGACAGCAGCCATCATAATCTTTGCGCAGGCGTATTTCAATAAACGCAGACATTTTAGAGAGAATATTGTGTGTCTCTCTCATTGATCAGTGGTACCTATGCGTTTGTGTTACAGTAGTTGTGGGTATTTGTGTCAAATTAATATTTTGTGTTATTATAGGTAGTCGATTAAAATCGACTAGCTAAATTCGTTTTTGGTGATGTATTTTAGGATATACACCCTTTTATGTTGTGTAATCCTCGCAGGATTCGCAACTGCTGCTCAAGTAAGTAACAACTGTAAAGTGCTCATGTACTTGCTCATTTATTGTGCGGAGGCCTGCATCTATAAATTCGGTTTACTCATATTTGTAATGTTATTTGGCAATTCATTTTTTAATTCTTGCATCATATAGGGGTAAATACAAATTTAAAGTATAACTACAACCTCATCGTGAATACGTATTTGTATTGCACCTGAAACGTGATATACAGTTTCAGTAAAATACATGGTTGACTTTGAAATTGTAAATGTTTACTTGTAAAAATTCCACAATCAAAGGAGTGGGATAAGCTTATTTTATTACATCTTTTAGAGATGAGTAGATAATCATAAACGATCTGATTATTATTAATGCTATGTGATTTGCATTTTAACAACTGAAAGACTTGATTTAGAAACAATCATTTAACCTTATCTTTTAATATACATGTTAATTTATGTAAAACGCTTCATCTTTAAATGTGATATTACTTACAAACTTATCTTCTATGTGACTCACATGAAAATCGGTTATTTCATTGTTATAATATAAAAGCCAGTTAATATCAACTGTGAAAATTCACAGTTAAGTTTTCCACTTTGTTTATTCTGTTTCCTTTGGTATTCCAAGAGATACTTAAAGCAGCAAATAATATTCTTATTTTCTAGATCTGATAGTAATTTATTATTGTAAAAGATATACCTGTCTTTTCGCTTAATTAATTTAATAAATACATTAGCTAATTGTTTATTGCTTTGGCTGTTCATTGAAAATTGAATTACTATGCACCCCTATGCATATAGAAAAAATAACCCTTAGTTATAATTGTTATTCATAACATTTTTTACCGTGTCTTTTTATATAATAATGTGGTTGTAGATATGTATTGGCTTGATGATATTACCAAGTCTTGAATAAATTTTTTTATATCACTAATGAATGAATAGGTTTGTTAATGAACTAGGTAGTACCAATCAGTTTCTTGCAAAATTAAAAACATTCAAAATTTTTCGTTAGTTGATGTCACATCTGCTTATCGGTATCACATAATTATTTTTATGATTCATAAGCCTTATGTTTAAAAGAGACATTTCAAAAATTGTATTACGTACAGTATTAATACCTAATAATTCATATTTATGAAAATATGAACACAAAAAAGTGGCCATACCTCTCTTACGTTTGTTTTTATGGAATTATTCTTTGATTAGTGAATACACTGAAATGACCATTTATAACTTGCCCACTTTTTTTATTTATATTCAAAACAGACTGGTAGTATTGTATCTTTATAGGTACATATTTAGATTTTAATTTAATTATAAGTATGTTAAATGTTTGCAATAATTTTTGAGGAAATTTAAGTGAATAAATTTGAACTCGAAAAATTAATAGATTATATAATTACTGAAAATGGGGTTGTTTGCTTTTCAGTAATAATATTAAAAGGTTAATGTAATTGCAAGGTATTCCGCGCTGAAGCTCGTATTGATCAGCTCCAAGTCGCCATATTATCATTCTTTTCTCAGTATCCAGAAAGAATCCAGATAGTCCAGGAAAGCGCGTTGATACCGATGTTAAAGATAATAGATCGTGTAAATCGGTAACTCGTGTGTTTTTGCTTTTATTAAGAGGGTGTGACAATGAAAATTAATAAATAAATTCGTTCATTTAAACTAAAAAAAGAATTGATCTATCATATATATATATATATATAAGCAGTGAACAGATTTGAAACGTAAGTTACGTATTAAATCAAAGTTTTTTTTCTGATGTGTACAATTATTTTGCAGAGTAGCACTGATCGTACATATAATAAATATAACGATGCTATCGACATCGATGACGAGCTGGATGGAAGCGGGGGAGGCAGTAAAGATGGTTTGAGGGACAGGGACATTATAGAAGCAAGCGGTTCTGGAAATGGACCCATCGATGACGACGATGAAGATCACCATCAATCAAATGTTATTGGTAAGTTATTTCTTTTTCCAGTTATAACTTCAGTATTAACTCATCTTTTTGTAACAGTTAATGCAAGAAAACCGCCTGTTACGACGGAGCCTCCTGTAGAGAAGAACAAAATTTCTCCAGTAGAAACTGTGATTCCAAGGGAATATCCAGAATTAGACACGGATGTAATTATGAATCCAAAACCAGAAGATCAGCCAACGTCTTTCTTTGCTCAACCAGGAATACTTGCAGGTAATGTTCTTAAAAGAGTTGCACAAGTTCTTTTATTGATCCAGTCCCCTTTACTTCTATTTATGATGCGGTTGACATTTTCGAACCAAAATTTGGTCTATTAAAAATTTTATGTTTTCACGTCCGACATGAATTGATTGTCACCTTTTTTATGGTCAGTAGAATTCTTTTTTCCCTTCACTGACGGCATACTCGGTGACGGTAGAGCTAAGGCTTAATAGTAAGTGATACCACTGAAGTGCCATCAGCGAAGAACGGCAAAACTTTTGAAAAACAAGAATTGCATGGCCAAAACCAGATAACCTGGAGTGAGAAGGTTTACAATTATAAAAGCAGTTATAGATATTTCTTTTTCTAAAGCTTTATGATAATATTTTTCGAATTTGTTGATTTAATGAAGATATATTTTTAGCTGTTATTGGCGGAGCCGTTGTTGGTTTACTGTGTGCCATATTAGTGGTAATGTTTATTGTTTACCGTATGAGAAAGAAAGACGAGGGTTCATATGCGTTGGACGAACCAAAAAGGTCGCCAACATCAAACTCGTATAGTAGAGGCACTAACAAGGAGTTTTTTGCTTGAAAATAAAAATAGTGAAGTGGTCACTGGCGAACTGATAAAATGAGGGGTCTGAACGTAATGTAAAATAACGTTAACGTGTTTATAATTACTACAGGTAATCAGCAAAGACAAAACGCTGAATGACTGAATCTCAGTGTTGCTTAAAGGGCAGCTTTTATACAGATCCTTCAAGTGTAACTAACAATAATTTACTTATAATACACGCGCACATGGAAAACATACTACTATACCGACTGTAATTAACAAATTAATATGAAATATTAATTGTTCGTAATTTTTGTGTGTTACATGTACACTACACTCAAGTACACTGTACACTTCTTGTCTTACTAACAACTGAATGGAAAAAGGCATTTTTTTCTTTTTATTTTCAAAATCTTACGATTATTGCGCCAATGGCATATTTGCTATTGTTTTTCTTTGATAATTGTGTACATACCAACAGTTTCCTTCTTAAGCATAGTTGTTCTATTGGATGTGTATGTAGTACATAAATACTTTTTACACAGTTCCAATCCAAAAATTTAAAATTATATAAAAGGGGCAGCTAGACAAAAATAGCAGCAGCAGCTTATCATAAATTACTTGCAACATTAATGTCTTTCAAAAAATTATGAACGAAAAATTAATGTTTTCTGTATCAACGTAGTTTCGTAGTAGAGGAAGAAGTGCGTTCATACAAACAGTTTCAGAAAAAAAAAATCAACATATCATTTTCTTTATTCAGTCAATTACCAATTTGTACCAGATGCGTATAGATAGTTCGTCTTACATGTGTGAATATGTTCTTGACACTACAATAATTGTGTACTTCTTACTCATCCCATAAACAAAAAAGTACCTACATTCAATACAAAAAAGAGATGTTAAACGTAACTGATATTGTAGTAATTAATTGTGTAAAAACTTTAATTATTGTATCCAATTTTATTTACAACGTAATTTCCATTATTTATTTTTCGGATAGTAATAAATAAAAAGCTTTTAGCAAGGTGGAAATGAAAAAAATGCAATAATGATTATAATCACTAGGCAATTTATAAATCAACACATCTTGCTAAGGAAAAAAGCTTCAACTAATTATTTGTCGGTTTTTGAGAACATTTAATAGAAGGAAAAAATATTTTATAATGTATTGTTTTTTATTTAATGGTGCCAATATTATTTAATTAATTCTCAAACAACAAAAATCTATTTACTTACTAGTTGTATTTTACTCGATACTTTTATATTTAAACGGTCATATAATTTATTGTACTAAATTTAATATTTTTATGCCCGCTCGCAATATTTATATTAAATTTTATAAGAAGTTTTAAATTCACGTAGCAGTATCTGGACCAAAATCAAATATTTGAAATTATTCATTCCTCGTGCGTTATTTTAATGTAGGACTAAATGTTTTTTTTTTGTTTTTGAGATATTGTCCCCTTTTCATGTGAATAGAATTTAGATTTTAGTATGATTATTTTATACAATGACAGACTTCTACCGTATTGACTTTTACAAAACTGTTTATTTATTTTTTCTTGTATAGTTTTTGAATATACCATTGCACTTCCAACTGCTATTTACGTTAACTCTGTGTTTTTATTATGGAAGATTATTGATAAATTACATTGTATAGTATAATTAACATGTAAATAAAATGTCCTTGAACATATAATTTTTTAATGGTGGTCTAGTATACAATAAGAATATTTTTTTTGTACTTATACAAGTTACATTATGAAAGCAGTAAGTACTGATAAAATGTTAAAAGATAACATTAGAATCATATTCCAGCTTAGGAAACAAATGTTCGCGTAAACACTTTTTGTAATATATTTGTACTTTAACAACTAGCAGTTAACATCATAAGTTTGGCACTTAGGTCAATACATATCTCATGTTCTTCCATTATTTTTCGCACAAGATTTATTTTCTTTATATGGAGAATCTGATTTTCATTTTGAAGCAGTTCCATTATTTTATCTAAGTTATCACTATTTGAATCAATTATTACTGGTTCTGTTTGGTTTTTGTATTGTACTTCTTTTAGCACTAACTTTAATCGGGCAATTTCTTTCTTTTCAATTTCCATCTTTTCTATAAGTTTATTTTTCAGTTCTAGTAGAGTTTGGTTTTTTAGATTCAAATACATAATTTCTTTGTCATTTGCTAATAATGGCAGATTTGGATCTTCTGTTTGTAAAGTATTAACACTTTTTGATTCAATTTCTTGTGTAATTTTAACATTGGCTGTTTTCTCTTGATCGACTTCAGTTGGTTTTGGGAAATCCCATTCGATGTTTTTAACTTCTACATTTTCAGAAGCAATGCTAGCATTATTTATTTCCTTTTTATTTAGATCTAAATTGTCCTCAGAATTATTTAATGATAATGGTACTGTGTTTAATACTTCTTGAGAATCTTTCTTTTTAGTGGCTGTTATCCTTTCAGTCTCTAAATTTTCACTACTGTTCCCAGTATTTTCATGGCTTACTTTTTCTTCAATTCCCTTTTCTTCTACAACTCGATTTTTACTCCTAATTTTTCTCTAAAAAGTGCAACAGTTTAAAATTAACTATATGTATTTAAATTACATACTTAAAATTACTTTTAATTGAGTTATTAATCTTTGAACTTCCCACAGCAACTCTTCCCTTTGCTTTGAAACAAATCCGGCATTCATTTCAGAATGAATTTGTGAAAGTAATGACTCCTGCTTCTTAAGTTCAATTTCCATCAAATCTTTTTCATCAGGAAGTTGGGCAGTTGAAATTAAAGGTGGTATGTACTGTATAAGTTTTACATCAACAAAAAGGGCCGGACAATGACAAAGAAGGGCGGTCAATAAACGTTGAGAGATTTGTAGTGTTGAACTTAAAGTTGCAGCTATACTCTGAGCATTCATTTTAGTTGATTTTTCCTTAAAAAAAAAATGTTTTCTAATGTATATATGTGTGGAGTATATAAATCCACTCACATTCAATGTTACTGTGTAAAGGTGGACAATTAACCATGAAACAGCCATATAATTGAGAGGTGGTAAATTACCAACTAAAATCTTAAGATGTTTTTCCCTCATTGCTACATTAAGAATAGCACCAGCTTCTTCAAATCTAACTATTAATTCTGAAGTAAATATAGATTCAGGCAAATCTCTGAAAACCATGAGATGTACTATGCGTACTTCTACAAAAAATTTAATTCTCACCTTAAAAACATTTTAAGTAAACCTGTAATAGTAGGTACATCATGCTCTGCCAAATCAACAAACTCTCTGTGATTGTACATCTTCTTTAAGTGGAGAACTTTAGATTTTGGTGAACTTATTTTGTAGATATATTCAAAACCAAGTCCATACATCTGCAAATAATCTATACATGCCCTATAAGGTAATGGGAGGTCTACTCCATCATGACATCTACTTCTTTCTACTGCCAGTTCAAGAGGAACACCAAAAATGGGAAGTTCTTCAGCAATATCACCTGGTCTTTCTTTTTTATCATTTTTACCTTTCTCTTTTTCGCTTTTTTTATCAATTCTCTTGTCCTTTTCCTTCTTTTTATCAGCAAAGTCTTTTTCTTTGTCTCTAGACTTCTCTCTTTTTTCTTTTGATTTTGATGCAAATTTAAATGACTTTGACTTCTTTGATTTTGTTGGGCTTCTTAAAAAAGGTCAAATAAGCATTTACTCTAAAATGTTTCAAATTCTGTTTTGTTGCTGCATGCAGATTACCTTATTTCATAACCTTCGTCAGCTGAGCTTTCTCCTTCTAACGCTGCATACCCTTTCTCTTTATCTTTTTTATCCTTTTTGTCCTTCTTTTTTCCTGTTAGCAGGTCTTTTCGTGTAAGTTTCTCATCTTCACTATCTAAAAACAATTGATGAATTTGATACATAAAAACAAAAAATTAAGCGACTTACAATCGGATTCCCTATTATTTATTTTTTGAGATTCAGAGGCATATAATCCTGGAAAATCTTTTATAACATTAGATTGTTCGTATTCCATTTGGGGAGCTACTCTAAACGTTTTAAAAAATAAATATTTACTAGAGAAAAGGACAGGTTATGTTCCGAAATGATTTCTATTTTGCTACATATTGAAGTAGTGTTCATAGTGTCTAGAGTGTATAAGGTATTTAGTTTATCAAAGTTTTGTCTTTGTAACTTGATATTTTCATGTTAATTTAATTCTCGATGAAGTCTGATAATTTCTTTTACAAATTGGAAAATTTTATTATTTTCTTCAATTATGTGATGCTATTTGTATTTTTATCTATCTCTGTAGTATTTTTGATGAATACATCTCAATTTATTTTTGGAAAGTTTGTGTATTATCGTGTTTTTATGTATCTATGGTTTTGTTTAGCAAAAAATCTATACGTCAATAGTTTAGGTTGGAATTTTATTTTAAAATCGGACTGTACGTAATTAATGATTAATTATTTAAAAGTCTATGCAGTTATGAATTTTTTAGAAGAACAGGCATTTTAAATTAATTTTTGTGGCCTGTGAACTGTTAGCGTTTTGCAGGAATGAGTGAAAATAACAGTAGAGCTGTTGCATATGCACTGAACAATTCTAGCTTACATGTAGGAAATAATGATAATTTATATACTAAAGAACAGTATCGCATTAATGATACACGTGAAAGTGCTTTAAATGATCATAATTATCATTCTTTTTTACACATTCAGGATCTAGAAATGAATAATAACAAAAACAGTTGCAATTTGTAAGAGTTTGATTATGCACTAATGTAGTAATGGACAGTTACTATGTTTTTTTTTTATTTGTAGGTATCCGTGTACTTATTGTTCAAAAACTTTTAATAACCAAGCCAATTTACTACGACATATGCGTATTCATACTGGAGAAAAACCATTTCAGTGTAGAACTTGTAATAAAAAGTTTACACAACAAAGCAACTTATGGAAGCATATGAAAATTCACTCAGGTACTTTTGTGTTTTGTTAATTATAAATGAGCTATTTGTTATCATTAGTTTTATTCAGGTATAAAACCATTTGAGTGTGAATTTTGCAAGAAAACATTTTCCCAAAGGGCAAATATGCAAAAGCATATGATTATTCATTTTGGCATTAAACCATTTCAGTGTTGTGTATGTGAGAAGTCGTTTACTCAACAAGCAAACTTAGACAAACATATGTTTCTACACACAGGTATGTTTTGTTCTTCAGTGTAACTTGAATCTAATGAATCCATGCTATTTTTTTAGGTGAGAAACCTTTTCAATGTGTTTACTGTTCAAAAAAATTTGCTCAACGAATTAATATGATAAAACACCAGAATTTCCATTTGGGATTAAAACCTTACTCCTGTAGTATTTGTGGGAATTCTTTTACACAGCAAAGCAATTTGAAAAAACACATACAAGTTCATACACAAGTCAAAAATTTCAACTGCCACAAGTGTGGAAAAGGATATATCCAAAAAGTAAGCTTAAAAAAACATCTTTTACATTGCAAAGAATCTTCAACACAAATAAAAGATGAAGCTTCATTGTACAGTTATGATGATTTAGAAAATAGAATTCAGGCTCACACTATATCTAAAGATGATACTGAAATGACAATTAAATGTGGTTGCTGCGATAACGAATTTGCTGAGGAGGATACTTTTTTGGAACACCTTGAGACATGTAAAGAAGGTCTTGATAATGCAGATTCAGAAATACATATTAATAGAGCTAAATGCATAGAAGTTTTATTAGATGAGGGTTCCAATTCAAAATTCATTGTTTTAGATAATAATCTTGTTTTGAAAGTTGAAAAACCTAAACAAGACGATTTTAATGTAAATAATTTGCCAAATAATCATTCAGAACTAAAATAATAGTATAAATTTTAGGCCGTTTTGTTTCGTTCGTTTATGGCTGATATTTTCAATTGAACGATCGCATGCTATTTAATTTGATTAGATGTTGATATCTTTAGAAAAATGATATGCAGTTTAGTTTCCTGTGTATTAGATAAATATATGTATATAACATCAACGTTGTATTTATAGTATTTTCCCTCTTTCGTTTTTACTAATTTTAACTAGTTTTCTTTATTAATCAAATCAAATATTCAAAAAATACCAAAAATATAGCCCAGTAAGAAGGGTTTTGATAAGTACGACAGCTATCGTTATTAAAAAGAGGATTTGCTTCATTATGTCAGGTAATTCATTATTTTATGAAAACTGTAATAAACTTATACAATTATAATGAAGTTACATGTTCAAATGTTAAATTTTACGCGCCATTACGCCATAGATACGATGCTTTAATCTGTGGTTCTGGGTCTGCCATTATCATGTCAGTGATTAACATGTCGAACGCCGTATTGGTTTTTGGTATAATTAATTATTAAATATAGAAATACTATTTTTACAGTGGAAGAACTTTTTCTCAAAACAAATATTTACGAATTTAATGTTTGAATAATTTAAGCCAATGTTAAATTTGTGGCGCCATTTGTTAATTACAGTAGGGAATTGTATTGTTTTGTTCCTTACGCTTAATTTTACGGTAACTGTATTTGTGCACTTCTTAGTTGGNATAGAGAAGGTATTTCGAAATATAAAAAAAAAGGTCCACTTACGGCTGTTTTATACACCTAGTTATTTACTTACACCCAATCACCCAGTATATAAATATAGAAATACTATTTTTACAGTGGAAGAACTTTTTCTCAAAACAAATATTTACGAATTTAATGTTTGAATAATTTAAGCCAATGTTAAATTTGTGGCGCCATTTGTTAATTACAGTAGGGAATTGTATTGTTTTGTTCCTTACGCTTAATTTTACGGTAACTGTATTTGTGCACTTCTTAGTTGGTTGTCATTTGTTTACGGTATTTTAGTGTAACAACGTTTTATATTTGTGAACGAATGATAATTGTATATAAATTTTCGTAGAAATATTATAATGGCATTGCTAAAGCTGTAAAATAATCCGAAGATAATGGAGATTTGCTGGTTTAGCTGAAAACTGTTATTTATATGATGCTACTGATGAGTCAGAATTTGAAACACTAGAGTTACCAAAAACATGAGAAATAAAAGATATGAGCAGAAACGTAATAGCATGGTAAGCTTACAAACACGTTATTTTCATTTGGAAATCGCTTTGTTTTTGTTTTGTTGTTAAAGAATTACTTTAACATAGTAAGTGAGAAGTCATATGGTGCTACAAAATGTGATCTTAAAGAAAGACAAAATAAGTAGCAATGAAAGCATTGTATGAAATTAAATAATTTATCAATCCTATTTACATGTATAAAATCAATTGGAGGAATTAATATGCCAAAGGTTGTAGATAATTGATTCCATTATATAAAAAGATTCTGGTTATTTTTGGAAAGTTTGTGTATTATCGTGTTTTTATGTATCTATGGTTTTGTTTAGCAAAAAATCTATACGTCAATAGTTTAGGTTGGAATTTTATTTTAAAATCGGACTGTACGTAATTAATGATTAATTATTTAAAAGTCTATGCAGTTATGAATTTNAAGCAGTGAACAGATTTGAAACGTAAGTTACGTATTAAATCAAAGTTTTTTTTCTGATGTGTACAATTATTTTGCAGAGTAGCACTGATCGTACATATAATAAATATAACGATGCTATCGACATCGATGACGAGCTGGATGGAAGCGGGGGAGGCAGTAAAGATGGTTTGAGGGACAGGGACATTATAGAAGCAAGCGGTTCTGGAAATGGACCCATCGATGACGACGATGAAGATCACCATCAATCAAATGTTATTGGTAAGTTATTTCTTTTTCCAGTTATAACTTCAGTATTAACTCATCTTTTTGTAACAGTTAATGCAAGAAAACCGCCTGTTACGACGGAGCCTCCTGTAGAGAAGAACAAAATTTCTCCAGTAGAAACTGTGATTCCAAGGGAATATCCAGAATTAGACACGGATGTAATTATGAATCCAAAACCAGAAGATCAGCCAACGTCTTTCTTTGCTCAACCAGGAATACTTGCAGGTAATGTTCTTAAAAGAGTTGCACAAGTTCTTTTATTGATCCAGTCCCCTTTACTTCTATTTATGATGCGGTTGACATTTTCGAACCAAAATTTGGTCTATTAAAAATTTTATGTTTTCACGTCCGACATGAATTGATTGTCACCTTTTTTATGGTCAGTAGAATTCTTTTTTCCCTTCACTGACGGCATACTCGGTGACGGTAGAGCTAAGGCTTAATAGTAAGTGATACCACTGAAGTGCCATCAGCGAAGAACGGCAAAACTTTTGAAAAACAAGAATTGCATGGCCAAAACCAGATAACCTGGAGTGAGAAGGTTTACAATTATAAAAGCAGTTATAGATATTTCTTTTTCTAAAGCTTTATGATAATATTTTTCGAATTTGTTGATTTAATGAAGATATATTTTTAGCTGTTATTGGCGGAGCCGTTGTTGGTTTACTGTGTGCCATATTAGTGGTAATGTTTATTGTTTACCGTATGAGAAAGAAAGACGAGGGTTCATATGCGTTGGACGAACCAAAAAGGTCGCCAACATCAAACTCGTATAGTAGAGGCACTAACAAGGAGTTTTTTGCTTGAAAATAAAAATAGTGAAGTGGTCACTGGCGAACTGATAAAATGAGGGGTCTGAACGTAATGTAAAATAACGTTAACGTGTTTATAATTACTACAGGTAATCAGCAAAGACAAAACGCTGAATGACTGAATCTCAGTGTTGCTTAAAGGGCAGCTTTTATACAGATCCTTCAAGTGTAACTAACAATAATTTACTTATAATACACGCGCACATGGAAAACATACTACTATACCGACTGTAATTAACAAATTAATATGAAATATTAATTGTTCGTAATTTTTGTGTGTTACATGTACACTACACTCAAGTACACTGTACACTTCTTGTCTTACTAACAACTGAATGGAAAAAGGCATTTTTTTCTTTTTATTTTCAAAATCTTACGATTATTGCGCCAATGGCATATTTGCTATTGTTTTTCTTTGATAATTGTGTACATACCAACAGTTTCCTTCTTAAGCATAGTTGTTCTATTGGATGTGTATGTAGTACATAAATACTTTTTACACAGTTCCAATCCAAAAATTTAAAATTATATAAAAGGGGCAGCTAGACAAAAATAGCAGCAGCAGCTTATCATAAATTACTTGCAACATTAATGTCTTTCAAAAAATTATGAACGAAAAATTAATGTTTTCTGTATCAACGTAGTTTCGTAGTAGAGGAAGAAGTGCGTTCATACAAACAGTTTCAGAAAAAAAAAATCAACATATCATTTTCTTTATTCAGTCAATTACCAATTTGTACCAGATGCGTATAGATAGTTCGTCTTACATGTGTGAATATGTTCTTGACACTACAATAATTGTGTACTTCTTACTCATCCCATAAACAAAAAAGTACCTACATTCAATACAAAAAAGAGATGTTAAACGTAACTGATATTGTAGTAATTAATTGTGTAAAAACTTTAATTATTGTATCCAATTTTATTTACAACGTAATTTCCATTATTTATTTTTCGGATAGTAATAAATAAAAAGCTTTTAGCAAGGTGGAAATGAAAAAAATGCAATAATGATTATAATCACTAGGCAATTTATAAATCAACACATCTTGCTAAGGAAAAAAGCTTCAACTAATTATTTGTCGGTTTTTGAGAACATTTAATAGAAGGAAAAAATATTTTATAATGTATTGTTTTTTATTTAATGGTGCCAATATTATTTAATTAATTCTCAAACAACAAAAATCTATTTACTTACTAGTTGTATTTTACTCGATACTTTTATATTTAAACGGTCATATAATTTATTGTACTAAATTTAATATTTTTATGCCCGCTCGCAATATTTATATTAAATTTTATAAGAAGTTTTAAATTCACGTAGCAGTATCTGGACCAAAATCAAATATTTGAAATTATTCATTCCTCGTGCGTTATTTTAATGTAGGACTAAATGTTTTTTTTTTGTTTTTGAGATATTGTCCCCTTTTCATGTGAATAGAATTTAGATTTTAGTATGATTATTTTATACAATGACAGACTTCTACCGTATTGACTTTTACAAAACTGTTTATTTATTTTTTCTTGTATAGTTTTTGAATATACCATTGCACTTCCAACTGCTATTTACGTTAACTCTGTGTTTTTATTATGGAAGATTATTGATAAATTACATTGTATAGTATAATTAACATGTAAATAAAATGTCCTTGAACATATAATTTTTTAATGGTGGTCTAGTATACAATAAGAATATTTTTTTTGTACTTATACAAGTTACATTATGAAAGCAGTAAGTACTGATAAAATGTTAAAAGATAACATTAGAATCATATTCCAGCTTAGGAAACAAATGTTCGCGTAAACACTTTTTGTAATATATTTGTACTTTAACAACTAGCAGTTAACATCATAAGTTTGGCACTTAGGTCAATACATATCTCATGTTCTTCCATTATTTTTCGCACAAGATTTATTTTCTTTATATGGAGAATCTGATTTTCATTTTGAAGCAGTTCCATTATTTTATCTAAGTTATCACTATTTGAATCAATTATTACTGGTTCTGTTTGGTTTTTGTATTGTACTTCTTTTAGCACTAACTTTAATCGGGCAATTTCTTTCTTTTCAATTTCCATCTTTTCTATAAGTTTATTTTTCAGTTCTAGTAGAGTTTGGTTTTTTAGATTCAAATACATAATTTCTTTGTCATTTGCTAATAATGGCAGATTTGGATCTTCTGTTTGTAAAGTATTAACACTTTTTGATTCAATTTCTTGTGTAATTTTAACATTGGCTGTTTTCTCTTGATCGACTTCAGTTGGTTTTGGGAAATCCCATTCGATGTTTTTAACTTCTACATTTTCAGAAGCAATGCTAGCATTATTTATTTCCTTTTTATTTAGATCTAAATTGTCCTCAGAATTATTTAATGATAATGGTACTGTGTTTAATACTTCTTGAGAAT